GTACTCTATTTCAAATCTGTAATAGCAAGGATTGGATGGCAAATAATTCCAGCCATTCTATCCACTATCTACATCTCAGTAACTTTTGTGCAATGGAACTGTAAACTTGCATCAGGAGTATGAATGCCCCAAATTAAAAATCAGGCAAAATACTATGTATGTATTTTGAAGTGACAGAATTGAAGTGTTTTTGTAAAATTTTTGTATTGCTGAGTTTCATTGACCTAGACCTAAAGGAGATTGTTACTTATCTAGAAACAAACATTTAATAAAAGGGGTGTCTCTTTTCTTCATTTCTTTTGCTACTAGATTATGTTTTTCATATTGCACACAAAGGTCTTTTGGCTTAACCTGCACTCACTTTTTGGTTCTTCTGCATTCAACAGTCATCCCAATATGTGTGTATGAAGATTCTTAATTGAGAAAAGTAATTTGAGTGTAATTTTTTAATTATGCTTACAAGTATGCTTCTTGTAGCCCTTACCAACTTCCATCAACCCTGTAATAAGTTCTTTACTCTTTGTAATCATGTATGAAATGACTGAAAGCAAAAAGCAAACAAAAACAAAACCAAGAAAAAACAACAAAAACTTGACACGTATACGTGCTTTTGTTCTTATTGATATTAAATATTCAAGACCTTTGTTCCTCCCCCTAAGCCCTCTCAGAAGATGGCTGAGATGAGGATGGGAGGATGACTTTACATTGTACTCCTTATAGTCAAACAGAGCTCAAAGTTGACAAACGTAGGACCTCATCCAAGACCATCTGTTTTATCAGGCCTTTAATCAACCCTTCTTAAGCCATTGTTTTAAAACAGAGGATAGGGATGCATTATTAACTTCTGTAGTCTGGAGGGGGAGAGAAAAACATTTTCCTCTTCAAGTGATATAATATACCCATGTGCTAAACCAACTGAAGCTATTACAAACAGCTTTTAAATACTGTAAATTAAAACTTACCTACAGAATGTGTAAAGCAAAGTAACTTTGAAGAAAAACAGATGAAATGGACTATTAAAGTCAAAGGAGGAGATATATTTGGGGGAACAAGGAGCTCTATATTTGTATTTCAAAATTTTTTTCAACTAATGAAAATTCAGGCTATGTGTTAAACTTTTGGGGAAAATGAACTTCAAATAATATATTCTTTAGACTAAGAAAGGAGACAATTTTAGAGAAAAAAAAAAAAAGTATGAGCAGACTGGAACTTCTATTGTACTTAATTTTAAATGTTTTTGATAACTTGAAATAATAAAGACCATCAATATTTAGATTAATACTGAAATGAACTGGCATGTTTAGTTGACCATAACAGAAAGTCACAGCAGTAACAATTCCACATCATTAGCTCCTAAGCAGGTGAAATTCCAGCAAGTCACAGTAAGAACTGGAAGATCGTTGTTCCAAAAGTGAAATCCTTGCCATCTCTGACAAGCAGCTAGAAACTTCAGTATCTTGTGTTTAGATACAGAATCATATCTTGTATCCACATTTAAGTTATTTTTTTTTTTTTTATTTTGTGTCCCAAAACTGTTTCAACACAACTGGACATGAAGCAAAGCTATAGAAGAATGGCCAAATATTTTGTGTATGGGAAAAAGGAAAGAAACTGTCCCAGTCCTAGATGAGGGCATAACAGAAGACACACAAGTGGCAACGGATGGCTTTGAGCTAAGATTAATGTTCAAAAATAGACCAAGAAGACAATAGCAACATCTACAACAGACCAGGGTAATTCAGACAATGATTAAAGCTGAAGAAAAGGAAATAACCAATGTTGTTAGTTCTTGGTACGTTGGCATTGGGTCTTCTTCACTGGGTGCACAAGAGGCCAAGTTCATAGCTAGCATAAGAGAGGTAAACATAGGAATTTGCATATGTCCCTATGTAGTCAGTTTTCTACACATACTTGGAACATCCTATATACAGCAAAAACGGGAAATCAGTATATGTGCAAATACATCATATTACTAAAATCTGAAGGAGAGGAGGCTTTTTCACCAGGCAACTTGAAAAAGACAATGTGGTTTCTCCAAGATAATGAAGTATTTTAAAGGAAATATTTCCCCTCAACAAACTAAGCAGCATTCATTTCTCTTTCAATGAAGGGATGGTAGATCAGATTCCCTAGGAACAGGCTCATCCTATAGTACTCCACAGACCTACATGTTTTTTATTTTCCTCTCTCCTTGTTGTTTCTCCAGACCAAAGATGATGGTCATTTTGGCACTACCAACATTTCAGATTTCCTTCACTATTGCTTAGATGCTCCCCTTCCAAGGAACCAGTAGTAAGGACAGTGAAGATGTACAGCAGCTCCACAGCTTTTAGCAAAGCAAGGAGAAAAGAGCTCTGAATCACCAGGAGGGTGCCATTCTAATACTTCGGTGCAAGTCATCTTCTGGGTATCAGTGGCTGTTGGAAGAGGTTCACAATGCCTAAGAAATTGAGTAGAAAAGGCAAGACACTTTGTATTCTTTTATTTTGGACAAGCAGAATACTTCTATAGAAATACAAGTGTAATTTAGAACATCCTTTACAGAAAATGAATAAATAAATAAATAAATGGTCCTATTACAAACAATGTCTCTTCCCACTCTAAAACCAGCCTTCATATTAAAAAATGAGTTTTTTCTTCACAGAGATTTTCCTTTTTAAATTGTTGTTTCCTGCATCATTTATTGCGTTCTTTGATCTTGGACTATACCTTTAAATCTATGTCATCTTTCTTAGGCTGTTTAGATAAATGTAGCCTAATAATTTTGCAGTTTTATCTTTAGTAACACAGATAACTATCAAACATTGTTTGCTGTTCAGTTGTGAACAACCACAAGATACTATTTTTAAACCTTCATAAAAGCAAAAAAAAAAAGTTGAAATCATGAAATCACTTAAAGTATAGTACTAGTAGCTATCACCGTAATTGTAAAGAAAACCTATAATGTCATGAAAGCCATTTCTCATGTTTTGTTAATTAAAAAAAAAAAAAAAAAGATACCAAAGAAAATATCTTTACTCCATAAGGTCTCAGCTATTCAAAAGTTCTGTATTTCTTCGCATTAAAATCTGTGACTATATTAGTCAGACTTTTAGTGACAAATTATGTCCCTCCAGCATTTATATGTATTACTTCTAAAGACATTCTGAGTTGTAGATCTCTTTGCAGACAGTAAAAAAAATCTGAGTAAAAGAACTAACATAGAGCAAGGTAATTTTAAAATAATGAAGTATTAGCAGAATTTAATACTTAATGTTACAGAAACAAATTTAAGGAGGTTATCAGGAAGCTACTGAGTAAAAATGTAGCACCAGTAGACATATTTCCACAGACTTCTAAAAAGACAGAATTTCATATCGAGAAGTGTTGGTGGCTTTACCACCTAAGATTTTCTGACACCAATGTGCGTAATGAATGTTAAGAATTCAAAAAGAAAACTGAAGCAATGCTTAGGTACTAGATTATAGTTTGGAAGATATTGTTGAATGTCATTTCCACAGATTCAGTGCTTTACATTGAAAATTTATATTCACTATGCTCTTCAATATATTAAAAAGATCTGAACGAGACACAGAAAAACAGTTAATTATCAGTTACAATCTTTTGTTCTGAACTTTTTTCATAATAGCTCCTGTAAATGTACATATTCAGTAAGTTTAATTTAAACAAGTTTAAGCTCACATTTTCCCTAGCATCATCAATCATTCTTTCTATTGCAAGTGCATATCAAAAATATTGTGCAAACAGTTAAGAGATCAACTCTTCTAGTAATTCTTTCTTTTAATAGGACCTATCAAGTTTGATATATATTGTCTCAGGTGACAACCAAGAATATAGCTACTGTGGAAAATTAAGATATATTTATAGCGCATGAGTGACTCTACTTAGATGTAGGTACCCTCCCTGACAGTGCTTGTGAAAACCCTTATATGTTATCTAACCCTTCACTAAATAACAACTAGCAAATTGAGCTGACAATAATTACTCTTATATTTCTTTTACTGTGAAGGACATGTTCTGCTGCAGTAAATTTCTTTTCTACAAAGAGTGAGGTAAGATAAAATATGAATGTTTTATGTGAATACTACATTCCTGACTCTGTATGAGCAATTTTCTTATGTTGTAAGGATTGAAGAACTAGTCCAATTTAAACACCTGCATTTACCTCAGATATAACCTTCATTTGAACTGAATGATAAGATTGTTTCCTATAGGTTCTAAGATAAAATAAACTGGTTAAATCAGCAGCTGGATAAGTGGCAGAAGTATGAGCCAAGTGAAGACAGAGGAAGAAATGTCTCTCAGAAAAGTTTGCCCTGATCAATATGCTCAAGTTCACCTAATAAAGCTACCTAGTAATCACTCAGAAATGAGTGGGAGAAAGTAGTGGACAGGTAGGAACCACAGCTGATAAAACTGAGTGAGTCCATCATAGGATCACCAAGAATGTGAAGGGGCACTAGACTCTGTGCAATCTCTATTCTTGAGGGTTTTCATGATCCAACAGAACAAAGCCCTGAGCAATCTGATCTGACCCCTCAGCTTACCTTGCTCTGAGACAGAGGTTGCCCTCCAGAAGTTTCTTTAGCTTTAAATATTCAGCGATTCCATGGCTGAAGATAATCAAAGGCATCTCAGATTTAGAATGATCATCAAGAAGTTTCGAGTTGTTTCTGACAATTTTGAAATGAAGTGTTTGTACCACTCACTTACATGGAAAGTTGTGAGACCGATCAGCTGTTTCACAGATTTTCCAACTCCTGCCAGTTCTCTTGTCTGTGCAAGAGACTAGATAGCTCTGGGAAAAAAAAAAAAAAAAATCCTTCCAAGTATGTGTCTGCCTGTCCATCCGTTGGTGTACTATGACCTAGCACTCATCAATCTTTACTTTTTGAACCATGGTAAGACAATGAAGTTCCCATTTTTAAACTATAAACTGGCTTTACAGGAAAGCTGTTAGGTTTTGGGGTGGAGAATAAATAAGGGATGAGAGAGACCAGTTAGCAATTCACTTTTTATTTTTGCTATAGATAAATATTTGGTGATAAAAGCAGGTACCTCGTAATGAAAAAAATCTCAAAGACAAAATTCTTTAGATCTATCAATTTGTAATGAAGTGGTTATCTCAGTTCATCTTCAGCTTTTTGATTAGCATTGTGTTATACTATTTACATGCCTGCATACAAGACTGCATCAAAATTATTGGTATGTTTTTCATATCAATAGATGAAAAAATGAGTAAATATATATATTTTTAGTTAACACTACATGGATTTTGAATTTTGTTCAACCTTCATGGAAGTTAAAGAATGTTGCTTTAACATCTTTTGAGGAAGCTCACTAAAAATAAAATAAAATAAAATCAGATAAAGCAGATGACAGCGGACATATCCCATGATAAACATATATATGGACCTATTATTGTCTACTTGTATATTCATACACAAATACACACTTTCCAAATGATAGTTTATTCATCATTTTCTCACCATCACAATTATATCACTGTGTCTTACCTAACCTATCCTTACTTTGATAAAAGGTAATAGGTTGGTCTGAGAAGCAGACTAGTCTTTCAGTTAAGGCTTGTATAAAAAAGAGCAAAATTTTCAAAAAGCCCATAGTGAATCAGAAATCTACTCTACCCTGAGAGTCAATGGGGCTTGAGTGCCCAACACTCTAAAGATATACTGAGAACTTGCCTCTATCCTTGATTAGACATACAGGAAGGCAAAAGGACTACCAGCCAAAATTATCCTCCTGCCTTTCAGTTTTGCTTTTGCCCTAACTCTGTATCTAGGCTCTTTACATACATACACACTCATATAAAAATGAAGTATATGTTTGAATAGACACTGTTTCTTCACTCACACTGAAATACCACTGTGGTTATTTGACAGTTTTCAGGAAAACCACATATATCTGGTGCCCACGTACCAATTAATGTATTTGCCTGTCCTTCCAATGTTGCTGATTGTTCCTTGGGCTTAACCTTAGACAGTGACTTAGTTAAACGCTATATTGAATTTCACCATTTCCATTTGAACTACCTTTCTGGTAGTTCGCTGAAGGGTTTATAGTTATCATGAGTGACCAAAGTACTTGGATGTGTGTACTTAGGTCAATGTATAGGCCTATACATGTGGAAAGGGAGTGAAATCTTTTAAAATAAAACAGCTGCACAAGAAATGGTCAAGCCATTGAAGGCAATATGATAGCTGCTATTAAATCCCACTTTGAGAAGCTTCCTTTAGCTTTGATGATTTTTTTTCATCTCAAAAGTTGCTATCAATTTTTCAGTGACCTCAACTCAACCTCACAAAATCAACCTAGCTTCTAGTCTGTTCGCATTTTCCTTATGTGGTGACAATAATAATAAAATAAAAATAGTAATTTACCCCAAAAATGAATATGACAAAAAAAAAAAAGGATTATTTTGGTTTTGAAAATGAATTTTATTTTGTTTTTGCAAGACCATTACCCTGAGTTGGCTCAGATCAGGATCCCTTTAGTCTAAGGTTCAGGGAGGTTTGGATACACAGTTTGAGACTTCACCTTTAATTGTAACCAAATGCCCTGTCTTACAAGCAACTGAGGGTTACCATAAAGGTGTTCTCAGCTTTTCAGGAGCTGTTGCTGTGCTTGGAATAAAAATTATTTATCCAGTGCTTGCTCAATACAAAGTCTGAATAACTCATATTCTCTATCAATGTTAATAGTGTCTTTATTAAACATCCTTGCAATTTTGGTCTCAGATATTCCCATTCAGGTAGGAAATGAAGGCATAAAAACCATGGTCTCTGTATCACCTAGAGCTGCGCTGCCTACATGAGAGTGGGACCCAGCAGCACAAGTTACACACTGAGCATCTTTTTCTCAGTGCATATGAGACATCCTGCAATGAGATCAACAGAATCCCTATGTCAAAGAGAAGATTTCTTGTGGACCTCATGCTGAACACATCTTAAAATATTACCTCTCCTCAAGACTTAAGTGACTTGGCCAGTATAGAGTTCCTATATTTCAGCCTGGGAAATCTGTGCAGCGTATGTGCACTCCACCCCACACTTCAGGAAGCAACACGTCCTGCTGCACATGCAACATTTCATTGCTCTGCATATTCACAGTAAATCTGACTTACAGAGCCTTTACTGTGTATGTTCCCAATGACTGGGCAGCACATGGGCAGTAGGTCCATTAGACAATCCCCAGAAGTGTCAGTCTTACTGTGCAGGCATGCAGTGACTTTGTCACATGTGCATAATAAATATGATGCTCTCCAAAAGTGTTGGGCTGACTATGAGAGCTCATGCAGTCTTGTGGTTACCACCAGGCTGTGTACAACCTGCTCATAGAGCAGCCAGGGCAGAGCATCTGACCTGCCACAGAAAGCAAACAGCTTGAAATCTTAACAAATGTATAAATTATTCAACAGCTGCCTAAACAATGTTTCTGGGCTGAAAAAAAAAAAAAAAAAAAAAAAAAAAAGAGAGAGAGAGAGAGAATGTGTTCAGTAAATCCAGCTGTTTAGTAGTCTTAAATCAGCAGTTTATGAAGGTGCCTCTGAAGCTCATGGTCTTCTCTTGAACATTGGCAACTGCACCTCTATTCTCACACTGGGATAAGTGACCTTCTACCTCCATCTGCATGTTCCAAACCCCACCTCAGATAACGAAGGAGCCGGTTTCTTTCATAGCCTGGGTGATATTTCTAAACAAAAACAAACAAAACAAAAAAAAAAAATCTGTGTTTTTGTAAAGTCAGTGGAAGGACTTTAAAATATACTCAAATCAATAGCTACAGCAGTTGGCCAGAAATGTTAATACTTATAAAGTAAGAATGACATCTAGGTTAAGTGCATGGAATACCTGTCTTGAGGATTTATGCACCTCTGTTTTTGCTCGCCCAGAATTGACACAGCCTCTCAAAATTACAGAAAATGTCTGGAGCAGAACTGGGGCATTCGAAGCTACTAATTTTGCTGTCACATCATAAATGCTGTAGGTGACATTTGATTTCTTAGCCAAGACTATCAGCACAGGCTGAGTGAGAGGGATGGTCTCGGAAGTGCTCTGCTTTCCAGCCTGCTCTGCTCTTCACAAAGTCACTGCAGCCCTCAGCACCACATGCAGTAACATGCAGCATTGAGTATTAGGTTAGATCTGATGGAGAAAAACAGGAAGTCAGCTTCCCATGTGGAGTTTGTGAGTTCACTTTTCTCATAGCTGGTTCACTTTCTTCTGATGGGATGTCACCCTATACTCCTTGGTACACACAAGAAAAGTTCTGTCTCTCCCACAGACTAACCTTCTCATGGTTACAGAAATTAGCATGCCAGGTGAAGGCTTGGGTTTGCCTGCCAGACTGCCTCTTCCAGAGCAATGGTTGCTGTTTTTCCATGCAGTGTCCAGCTGTTGAACATCCTGATGAGATATTGCACCACTCCACAGGAAACCAGCAAAGATAGTGGAGGGCAGCTAGGTGGTACGGCTGTTTGGTGGGGAGACCTGTTACTGCTTAACGTTCCTCACATACCCACATCTCCCTGCTCACCTATGTGCTATTGTTTTACTTCATATGGAAAAATGTTAATAAAAAAAGCAGAACCACTGTCCACCAAGATGAGGCAGCCACAAGCAAAGTTAGATGTTACACAGTTACAGCTATATGAAAGTGTCAAGAAAAAAACAAGACCATTATTGAAATGTTTTCATATTTTATTTAATTTTAATTTAATTTAATTTTATATTTTATTTTATTTTTGTTATTAAACAAAATATTACAGAAATGTCATCCCCAATTTTATCATAGTGCTATGAATTTTGCATTACATGTATGCTCTTGACAAATATTCTTGCAAGTACAATGTAATTCTGCAACCTTTTTACAAAATCTTCAGAAGAGACAAAAAGAAGTGAACTACCTTGGGGCCAGATTCTGTTCTCAAATGCATTCTGCCTCCTACTGACTTTGGTGGGGGTTTAGATTAAGGATAAAACAAAATGCCTAAGAGTTCAGATTAACCATATTAGTTTGTGAGGTACTGACAAGTTTCTAGGGAGTGTCATTCTGATTTTTACGACAACTTTTTCTCTGAAGGTCTTCAGTAGGAAGACATCTTAAATGAGCACTTGTTTTGGTAGCCTTGCGAACCCTCTGAGCCACCATCAGCAGCAGTGATTCTTCAGTGATCCAAGGACTAGGGAGTTGAACCACTGCGACTGCAGAGGAGGATCACGAAAGGAGTAACAGTGGTGACCTTGTGATTTCATCACAGCTCCCAGTTTCAGGGTGTGATCAAAAAACAGAAGTCTGTGTGTGGTTCTCAAATTGGGAATGGTCTTTAGTGTCCACAAAGAGTTGTAGGTGACTACATTCATGCAACCATAGGACTGACTTAACTTACAGCAAGGGCCAGTCAGATTTTGAATAGGAAATATTGTAAAGTGTCTGCTGCTCAGCTGGAACACATACAATTATACAGAATACATAGAACAGTGTCTCAGTGCTCTGGGGCATGCACAGACATAAGCAGGCTTGTACTCTGCACTTACACTGGGCACTTACCGTGTCAGGAGTCTTTCAGCTATTCAATCACTTTCCCATACTTCTTCCAGTTTTTGCAGTATGTCCTCCTCTCATGCTTCAGATCTTTTCATCCTCTTCACCTTTCCCTATAATATTTTTTACATCTCCTTTCTTTAGTCTGTTTTTCTTTCTCTGACCTTTTCCCTCTCTATTCTTACTTCCAAATCCAGTTTTTGATTTAGCTTCTTTCTCGGACTCTCTATTCGAAGTCTGTAATGTTACCCCCACTATAGAGTGCATCCCTTTTTCCTGCTATTTTTAGGTTGCTATTTCAATATAAGTTTGTTTTTCCTCAACATTCTTAAAATCTCTCTTCTATATATTTTATATATTTTTCATATTCCTTTACTTTCTAAATCATTACACCCTGGTCAGTTCCAAATGTAACCTTCTTCTCTGCTGTTATAGTATCTATTTGTGTGATGCTCTCACTCACAACTTGCTCTACTTCTCCATCCCTTCAGTTGTTAAAGGAAATGGCATACCATGATAAATCTCCATACAAAACTTCAAAGTTGCTACCCAATCCTCTGCAGTTTTCTTCATAACCTACCCCATCAGGAAAAATTTATCTGTTGCCTACGTCTTCTCACCAGCTGGTAGACAAGAACTCACATTGCTTAAGAGAGCTAAGGCAAAAGCAGTTTGGGTTCTTTAAATTCATTGGGGTTCCATACATTCTCTATCTACAGCAGAAGGCTTTTGGTTATCACAGGTATTCTCCATTAGAAATGTCTTCATTCTGGAATAATCATTCTATTACATTATCAACACTAGGTATGGAACAGGGTAATAACAATATTGTTCTTGAAGAACAAGTCTGCTTAGAAGACATGATCTATGAGCACATTCCAAGACTACAGTTCTTCAGATGCATATATTTCCACTGAGGATAGGAAAAATACCTGCTCATCTGCTTAGAATTTTGAAGCCAATCCTTCAAAGTCATGTAAAGTGTTGTTTCTCAACTTACCTACTGCTGAAAATAGGGCATGAATCAATGGAAATGCTGCAAGAACTCAGATAGCTGACAACATCCAGATAGATTCCTGTTTTTAATATGTTAGGAAAAAATAAAAAAATAACAAAAAAGAAATAGAAAGAAATAGATCAGATGTATCTGACGGTCTCCAACAAAACCATTTAAAAGCATGTATTACTGTGAAAATTGTTTATCTACCTACTTATCTTTATCTACCACTTTAAACCACAAAACTAGTTCCTTCTATGCTGCCTTTTTTTTTTTTTTTTTTTTTTTTTTTTTTTTCTGATATCAGGGAATCACTTTCGACTTCCCTACATCTCCTTTCAAACTAGCAGCAAGGACACAAGTTACTCATCTTTCCTAGACTTCTTGCAATCTTACAAGAAATTCTTGGACATTCTGAAAGTAAACCCTTGCTCCTTGCACTACCATCAGTTGATCTTTTTCTCTAAGAGGCCACTTCAGCAATCTCTTTGCTTCTTTCAGATCAAGGCCTGATCAAGAACACAAATCCACAGTCCTTTCCACAAAGAATGACTAGAATTTTTTGCACTTAGACTGCTTTTTAGAAACACAAGAAGTCTTTCCCATACAGAAGATATACTTGCTTACAGAGAATTGTGAATTTTGTTTTTTTTTTATGCCACCTAAAAACATGAAGATGAGCAATGTAAGCACCTGTGTTGGTACTTTTCTTCCTCTGCTATATAGAATTTTAAAGTTTAATTGGATGATAATTTCACAGTGACCATAAGGATATGTTTTGTATCTACAGATATATGCCATGAATAACTGCAGAAGTTGCTCCTAGTATGATGACTAAGTAAATGCTAGACGATATATCAAGGAAGTAGTTGATTATTTGCAGATCAAAAATTGGTCTTGAGTAACAAATAAGTTTTCCACTTCTAAATGGCTATCTTTTCTTTTCTTTTCATGCAATAGCAGACAGATTCTGCATGGGGAATAAGAGGATCATAAGATCTGTGAATGGATGGGTAGAGGCTAGTGTTAGCTTGGGCTGCATACCTGGGTCTCCTTTTGTTCGCTGACAGAATTTCTCAGGGCAAGTCCTTAAGCAGAGATGAAGGCTGAACTCAGTGGTAGAGGCTTTGTTTAACATGCTGCTGCATTAAGTCCACCAAACAGACTTCAGATAAGTTGGTAGGGACTTGGACTAGCAACACAGAAATGAAAAGCTTCATTCTCTATTCATGGTCTCTTAAACTATTAACTCCCACTTGAATTGCTCCACTAGATTCTCACTGTAAGGTCTTCAGCCTTTCTTTCGTTCTTTTCTCTTCACTTTATCCTGTTGATTGTGCAGGAGAGCATTCTAGACATGTAGAATTTCAAGCTGAAAAGTCCCTTCTACTGGAAATTTAAATAGATAAGACACTATGAAAATATCTTGCAGCATGCACGTGTTGCGTGTTACAAGGGAGTGCAGTTTCTGCCTGAGTCCAAGCTATTAATAATGATTTGTATGGAGACTAAGTAACAGAAAAAAATATTTAGGAAAAGATTTCTTAGTTCCTATAAGATTGATTCTTTGGTAGGCAACTTTCTTAGTTTATGAAGTAATTTAGAAAGTGCTGTGTTGTAAATTACAAAGTACAGTACATAGCACTCAGGCTAAGGGCAGTTTTGTTATTATGACTGCCTGAGATCTGATAAACTATTATATCTGCCTTTATAAACACTTTATTAAATATCACACTATCGCAAACCCAAGAATGTTGTATAAAAGCAACTTGAGCAATTCAACATCCACTTTTTGTCATAAAAAAAAAGAAATATTCTCTTGATTAGTTTCTATGAAGCATAATAACTGTAAAATAAACAAGATAATCCTTATGTAAACAGCACAGGGTACGTGGAGCACAGAAATGGATAGAGGCACAAAGAACATTCTTGGCTTTAAAACTTGAAAGCAAATTTCCTCTTCATTTAATCTAGTTTAATAATAGTTTTAATTGCAGTATTTTTAAGTCACTGGAAAAAATAAAAATAAAAAAAATTCCTAGTTTGTCGATATATTTTGTTTTGTTTTGTTTTGTTTTGTTTTTTGTTTTTTTTTTAACTGCATCTCTCCTCCAAGGAAGCATCCCCTGGACAGCAATGAATCTTTGTGTTCATGAGTTGCTTCAGATATACCCCTAGATTTCAACTGCCTGGCAACTATTGTTCTGTTCTTCATATGTCAAAGAAACAAGGTTTGGCTTGCCTGCACCCAGAGTAAATGTCTAACCTAGGGTTCACTGGCAACACGCTTTACTCCATATTAGAAAAGCAGCAAGTGTTTCATGGCTATAACCATAGGAAATACAGACTTGTCTGATAATCAGCTCTTTCCCATCTTCAAACATTTCCTTCATGTCAGACATAATGTATGGATTATCCCTGGAGGTCTTTAAAAGACGTTTAGATGTAGAGCTTAGGGATATGGTTTAGTGGGGACTGTTAGCGTTAGGTCAGAGGTTGGACTCGATGATCTTGAGGTCCCTTCCAACCTAGAAATTCTGTGATTCTGTGATTTTAATTTCTTTTTTCTCATTATTTTAATCCCTAATTTTGAAGGCTGTACTTTCCCATACTTGACATTCCCACAGTGACCAATGTCTACAACACTGTGCAAATGTTAAATAGTGAAACTTCATGTGGCCAGCTGAGATGCAGAGACACCTGCCTCCGCAGAGACCATCATTGTGGATGCCAAAGAGAGCAGTATCAGACCTTTTTCAAAAACTAGATAATTCTCAAACATTACTAATTTCCTAATGTCTCTTTTGAACTAGAACACTGACTAAGGTGGTTATGTAAATACTGAAAGGAAATTATTAAATCCTATGGGGTTCTATTTTTTTTCCAAATTCTCATATAAGCATACACGTGTGTGTTAATCAACTTATAAAACATGTTTAACTCCTATAATAAAAATATTAGACATAAACAATGTCAGAATTTAAAGTTCTGTTTTGATCTTATTTATAACCTCATAGCATCCACCCTACAGATAGCAGATTCTCTCTTGACAGCAACCATGGGAATGTGTAGTAGCAATCAGTATTTAAAATGGTTGGAGTCCAGGCTAAAGACTGGGGTGCACTGAAAATTCCCCAATGTTTTTAATGGAAGACAGTGAGGGAGGAAAGGACAGTTAGCTTATTTTCCAATGTCTGGTATAGAAACACTAGAAATTCTAAAAGAGTCAGGAAAGAAAGAATCTTATTTAAAATTATTCTTTCAAAACAGTGACATAATTCTGGACTAATATTTCAATCATTAGATCATAATTGCTGGATTTCATAGTTTTTTAGGTTAAGGGAAGAAAAAGAAAAAAAAAGAAAAAAAAAAACTACTGTGCAGTTTCATATTATATTACTCATTTGAGCACTTCCAAAAATAAGTAATTATGGTTCCTGTGATCTTGAAGATATGCAACATATAACTACAGTCATTATTTAATTGGAAATGTTACTGATTTTATGAGAAAACAGAAAAGTGTATGAGGGTCTTTCTTTACCATTTGCTGTTAGGCTACCTCTGGTGATTCCCATTTTGTCATGGCACATAAAGGGTAAAGGTTATTGTAGAAAAAAATGTCAGAAATGTCAGAAAGCAATCATTGAAAAGGCCTGTGCCAGTCAAGCCTGGGGTGTTCCAGCCTACTGGAAGATAACCTGTCTCCAGACTCTTACCCATAGTCTAAAGAAGGAAGCAATCCTTCCCCATAGAGAAAAGTATTTGAGCATATTGTACCTACTCTTTTACAGAAGCTGGATAAGCATCAAGGTTTTTCACTTATACTAATGCCATCTTTCATCTAATTTACCATTTATACACCATTTCTGAAACCCCCAAATTTAACCTGTGGCAGATTTATGAGGAGTCAGAGTGAGAAAATAAATTTAACTTCCATTATTAACTGCTAGGTAGCACTGTACACACTTACACACTCCTATGGCACATTATGCTTTCTTAGTCATGCACCACCTCAACATAGATTAGGTCAGTGTCCTCCCAGGGATTATTTTCCTGTTTTTTATTATTATTATTCCTTTATCAGGAGGGTGGATGCAACATTTGCCACATTTATACATTGTTATATATTTTTAGAGATAGACCAACAGGCAAGAGCAACAAAATGTCTTGCAGATGTACCACAGTGTTCAGTGCAACTCCACATTTAATACAGACTGCGTTTATCATTAGTCTAGAGGGTAGAAGCATAGTTATGTCATTAGCACAGCAATTAACGTGTTATGTGGTAGTCAATAAATGTAATTACTTGTACTTAAACAGAGACATGTAGTTTAGCTTACACAAGAGAAACTAACCCAAGTTAGCAAGTTTTTTTTCCGAAACGATTTTTAAGGGGAACACAAAAGGGAGGAGGTTTTCTCCTCTGGCTTTTCAGAAGAGTTTCTAGACCACGGTGCCTCTAATCAGGATTAGATGATAGCATTTGAAACACAGGCAGCTGGGGCTCTGTTCACCACTCTCCCTGGTTGCAAAGCTGCGTTGCTGAGCTGATAACAGACAAAGATTTAAAAGCCTATCCCAGGCACAAGCTCATCTCTTTGGGAGCTGTCTTGGTGATATGTGGGTGAACCTCTGCCCAGTACACGTGGCCTAATGGTCACAGAGCAGCATACATAAGGAATACCATTACCTACAAAGGTATTAGGAAAGTGTTCCCAGCTGAAATCCTTTATCCAATTCCAGTTGTTGTTTGAACAACAAAAACATTAAGGGCAGCATTGTTCCATTTGCTACTGTGTAAAACAATGCAATGACTGTTTAGAATCACGTTTTGTTTCATGAGTAGCTGAATTTACTGTGGGAGTAGAGAAGCATTTACATCCAGAAAATATGCATTCCTCAAAGCAGATGTTTTTGATTTTAATAACATCAGCCTGTAGAAATGAATATCTGAAATATTCTGATTGCTGTGTGCATGTTGCTGTTTAGGACTAACACTCCGTTGTGGTGGGTGTGTAGAAAGATTCAGGAGCCACCAGGAGAAATAAGCTGCTGCTAACTCAGCTACCAAGAATAATGCTGCATTTTTTTTTCTTTGAAAGTCACTTAAAAATGCCCTCCTGTGCAGAAGAATGTCATTTTATGCACTGTAGATATGCTGCATTATAGATCCATAGACCCCTACTTTGAAAATTGCACATGTAAAATTGTTTGCTGTGTGCGCCTTTACTTTTCCACACATGCAGCCCAGATGTGCGCGTGCACATATCATACGAAATGGGCATGTTCTGTTTTTACAAGTTAGGACATATCTTTAGGAACTGTGCACCAATGGAATTGGGGGAAGCCCTTCATGGGCTCCAGAATATGCAGGGCATAGCCCCTGGCTTCCAGCTAAGTAAAGATGTATGTATATCCAGGGCTCAATTTTCCCACTGCTCTGTCTATACTGAAGACTGCAGTCTAGCATAGAGCTCCCTGAAGTGACTATAAAACAGTGCTTGCTTCAGCGCAGTAGCACAGACCTGAGTCCAGGCTAGCTTCTCAGTGAAAAACTGAGTAAAAATAATCTTTGTGTTCTGCCTTTCTAAGCAAGACTGCTCATTGTATTAGAGCCAGCTCAAGTACATATAAATTATTTCTTTTAACAGTACACACTTGCAAACCTTAAATTCATGTAAATGGGAACCACTTTCCTAAGCAATCCTATTGCCTTAAGCAGGAAGACTTTTGCTGGTGAGGACTGTGTCTGTCAGTTTTTGTGGTCTTTCTTTTTTCCATGGATATATTTTGTAGGTGTTGTTCACTGCATGGCTAGGATTGGCATATCTGATCTGCAGATCCTTCTACAGCTTTCTTAATAAATAAATAAATAAATAAATAAATAAATAAATAAATAAATAAATAAAAAGGGTTCTGAAATCAACTCTAATCCATTTTTTAAAAATGAAAACAGTAATAAGATTTCCATTTAGCAACATATAAGAACATTTTTAACTTAAATGACTTACTTTTGAAAGAATAAATGCATCCACTACCTCTGCTTTCTGCTTCCATCACTGCTGGAGTTCCAAGTGACTGATAACTTAGGAAGCCATGCTGCCTGCATGTCTGTGTGCTGAGAACGGGAAAAAGCTGGACTGTGAGACTACACATGAAGTCATTTTACTCAAGTGCTGCACTTCTGAATCACAGAAGCCCAGTAGCAAACCACTGGACCTAGCAGCTATTCTCTGCTCTCTTGGTGCCCTAAAGTAGGATTTGGGTGATCAGAGTTAAGCCAAATCAGGACTTGATAATAAGAAAAAAAATAAAACAAGGCACGAAGTTAGCAAAATATTCCTAGCACCTGAGAAGCAGACTTGCTAGCATTGAACGAAACAGTTTTAGGATGTATAAATGCCATTTTACAGTGGAACACGACCCTTAAAAATAAATTCTCTGTAAGGCAGATTTTTAGAGGTACTGAGATGCAGAGAGCTGCGTATTTTGGTTTCCAAACATATCTAGGGCTTAAATCATCAAAGGGATTTATATGCTGAACCTGCGCATACTTCAAGGAGCATTAGACTCCTTGCCACTTTGAAATCCTCCCCCTAAAGTATCTGTCTTTATTTTAGTATGTGAATCTCTCTATAAACCTGGCCCTGTGAAACCAAAGCTGTGTTTCAGCTCCACGGGTGGATAAACGATCTCAATCATTAATAGTTTGGGAGGAACTAGAAAAAAAAAAAAAATAACAGCCTTACGTGTTCAGATGGATGGTAGGGCATTAATTCTGGCTTCAGGTTTTGCGTATCTGTAAACCATGGGAGGGCACTGCCAGTGGCACCATAAATAACCAGAACATGCCCCTGCAGCGGTCAGACAGGAACCCTTGCGCCAGTGCCGCTCCCGTGCGAGTCCCGGGGAGCTCTGTCTCTGGCCGGGGGGGGAAAGGGAGGGGGGGGGACAGGGGCGGGTGTCCCCATCTCGGCGGCCGGTGGAGATACGGGGCGGTTTTTTCTCTGCAGGCGTCTTTGGATGTACCTGTAAAACAGCTGAGTGGTAAACCCGTTGAATCCTCGTGTTTTTGCTGCTAGAGAGGATCTATAAAAAGAGATTTATTGTCATATTTCCCTTTTGTGTTGTACCGTTCCTCTCCACCATAAAATATTCTCGTCGGTTTATGGCAAAGCAAATATAGCAGCTTAGTTCGTAAGCGCCCAAGTTTCCCTCTGCTGCACGCCGGGTTTCAGATGTAATTGAATTAACTCCTATTTTTGTTGACACCAGCGAGCGGGCGTCTGCCCCGAGCTGCAGCAGCGAGGCTTAGAGAGCCGGAGTTCGTGCCCAGGGCTTGTAATGCGGGGACCCAAGTGCCCCTCGAGTCTATAGGAAACCGTCCAAGCGGTTTTAGCTTTTATTCTTCCTGCAGCAGCTTTAAAGCGGCTTTATACACCAGTCAAACAAGAGCCAGCAGCTGTGGAAAAATCTAACAAATCATAAGGGCGGTTTAACGGGGAGAGAGGGAGCGAATCCCGCAAAGTAGAGGGAGCCGCTCGGGGAGCCGGCTGCGGCGACAGCCTGGCCCCTGCCCCAGGCCGGGGGACACGGGGGTGCGGGGGCACCCCATGCGCTGGGATGCTCAGGGCGCCGCACGAAGCTCGGGCAGCGTTTGGGACTGGCCGGTTCTGCTCTGGGATTTTTAACACACCCGCCCCTAAGCCCCCCTGCTAAGTGTCCGCGGGGCCGTGCGGGGAGCGGGCGAGGGGGGGCGAGGGGAGCTGGCCCCAGCGGGCAGGTAGCTGCAAGCCGGCCCGTAATTACAAAGCAAACAAGGGTGAAATATTGGGTCGGCCTCGCCCGTGACAAGATCTGCGCGTTTTGCCGCCAATTTGTTTGTGGAGCTCTATTTAAAGGCGCTTGATTGAGGAAATGTTGAAAATAGCAGTTAGGGTTTCCCTAATGAGACCTCTAGAGGAAAGCAGTGGCATTCAGGGGGCTCGGGGGAGGGGGGGACCTTAACCCTTTCCAGCCTGCCCCCAGCCCGGCGGGGCTCCTCCGGCCTCCCCATCGCCCCCTGCCCTCCCTGGGGGCGCCTCCAGGGCTCCCCACCCCCCAAGCCTCCCCTCGGACCCCCTCGGCCTTTCGCATCGCGACCCCCGGCGGGCTCTTGGGGGCGGTTTGGGGCAGGGCCGGGGCAGGGCTGAGCATCCCCGGCCCCTGCCGGCAGGGGAGGTCGGGGACCCCCCCTCCTTATCCCCCCAGGGTGCGCCCCGGCAGGACCGCGCCGTCGGGGCCGTGCCTGGCGGCCGCTCCCCGTTTGCCGGGCCGGGTTGTGGAGTGGCTGCGGGCTGGTGCTTCAGGAGAAGCAGGGGCCCTGAGAAAGGCTGAGACGGCTGGGAATGTAGTGAGCAAGTAACGAGATTTGTCACATTAATATGCCCCGCGCCGGGGCCTTGTGACACTCTTCTCCATGCATTCATTGCTCCCTTTTCCCTCACCGTGTGAGCCTGCCCCGGCACTAATGCCCGCAACCTCCCATACACTTCCATGCTCAATTAGCGCCTGTCTGAATTCCCTACTAAATACAAATGAGATCCTTGGTAAAACGCATGTTGATAATATTTTGAAAGGTGCTAATGCCCGGGAGGGAGAGCGGATTTCAGCCCTCTTTCAGGTTTCTTCTTCGAGTGCTAACACTTGAGCGACATTGAAATCTCCCGGCCGGCTCCCGGTTTTATAAATCAACTCGAGTGCCGAAAAAAAAAAAAAAAAAAAAAAAAGGATGGCTTCGGAGCTGCCCTGACTGCAGCCTGCGGGGCCCTCAGATGCTACCCAAGGCACGGCTGCTCCTCCGCCTCCTCGGCCACCTCGGCATCACACTGCACTCTCGGCACTTATGTTGAATGTAGAGATACATACCTGGACCAAGATCAAAATGGTCCTTTAAGGAATACCTAATAAAAAAGGGGGCATTGTCTCTTCCTAGAGGGAAGAGAAATGAAAAGCAGAAAAACAACGTGTTGACTTTGTAAAATATGTTCTGCGCGGGGACGTAAAATAGTTTTTTGTTGTTGTCGCATTTACACCCAACGTTTTGGCCACGGCTCCGTTTCCCTGCAGGTTTCAGGAGGTAAATGACACTCGGTTCCGTATTTCTCTGCTTCTTCAGCTACTTTCCCAAATAATTTTTTTTTTTTTTTTTGGTGTGCGAGTGTGCCGGCGAAGGAGAAAAGGAGAAGCAAAGAAGCGTTTTGCATATGCACGGCTCAGCTCTATCATCTGCAGGAACGTATTGCACAGGACGGCCTCGCGTTTCCAGTAAAGTCTCCTGCCTTCTATTTATGTTATGCCATTTCTGTTTGTAATTATTTTTATTTTAATTTTATGTCATTTTTAACAGAAGCCAGACCGTTTTTCCCTCCGTGTTTTGTACACAATGCTCTCTTTCTCGATAAGATGTTCTTTCCTATCTTTTCGGTTTTTCTTTTAAAAATGTTTATAGTTCCCCACGAGCAATTCTCCAATATTTCTCTCTTGTATTTTAAGGACTTGTCCCTGTCTTACTTTATTTGTTTGTGTGAAATTTAGTTTGAAAGGAGATCAGAGAGAGCAGGAGGGGTTTGTAATAAGAGAATGACCAAGTGACCTAAAGGCTGATTATATGTCATTAACTGGAGACTCGGTGTATCCAAATTACCAAAAAGACCTCACTCAGCCAGATCAATTACACCGAGATACTCGTAGAGGAATTGCGGTTCAGGCAGCTACACAGGCTGATGCCTCCAACAAGTGTGCAGCCGACTTGTGCAGCAGTCGGCTGCTTATTTTTAAAGCCCAGCCCGGCCGGGCGGGCCGGACAAGGGGTGCTGCAACAGGTACACGGCGCGGGGGCACCGGGAGGACGACATCGACTTTTTGGGGCGAAATTGCCCCTAATTGTCGGCGCTCCGGACGGATCTTTTTAAGGCAAGCTAGATTGCCTTTGATCTGTGAAAACCGCTTAAAGCCCAGCCTTGTTAAATGGGCTCTTTCCATGAATAACGACAACAGGAGTGTTGAGTTTTGTCAGCCTAAACTCCAAACGATGCCAGCCTAACCTCCAACGCTTCCTCCAAAGCGAGAATTTCAGATGCTGGAGGAAAAATATTCATTAATAAAAGCAATGACACTCGCGAGCTAGTTCACCAGCGCTGAGCTCAAGAGCAACTTCGAGATGCTCTTTCCCAGGAATGCAAAGAGCATGACACGGAAAAAATGTGTGCGTGTCCTCAGACACACGTGTGCGTGGTTATACATGCGTGGATTGAGGAGAAGGCCAACCCACCAAATACTGCGCTTTCACTGCGGGATCTGAGCAAGTCTTTATTGTTCTTCTGAAGAAGAAGGGGTTTCAGGTTGAGTTCGTTGTGTTTTTCTTTTCTTTCTGCGATTCCTTTGCACGGTCGAAACGCAACTCTGGATCCTCGGTCACAAATATAAGCAATCCTCGAATAATTGCTTACACATGCAGGGGTAAAACGCGTACGGTCCCGCGCTTACCGCCAATCACTGCGACTCATAAAATGGTCAGTGTCTTGGATTTTTCTCGTCTCTACTCTTTTTTTTTTTTTTTTTTTTTTTGTATACACAACGGCTGTGAGATTATCATGCCTGAAATATGTGGGCGTTCATTCCCGATAATAGTAACGTAAACCAGGGTTCCTCCACCTCCAATGGCAGCAATTAATTCGGGCCTGGTGGGCCCAATTCTGCCCTCTGCCCTACACGTTGGAATAAAGGTTGCGTGAGCGTAACTGAGGGTATAAGTAGGCCCATTAGGCACAAGTCCTTTTCATTAACCCACGCTGACAGGTTGACCTTCAAATGATATTTCTCCGGTGCCTCTTAAAAAAAAAAAAAAAAAAAAATCCCCTTTCTAGCGGGTTTGCGCTCTTCTGCGAACTCCTAAGCGGTGACCCGGGGAAAGCAAATGCCGCATCCTTGGGCCAGAGGGTACCTCGGCTTCCCAAAATTCATCCAAGAAGCATCCCCCTCTCCCGCACATTGGCTCGCAGGTCAATGACATCATGGACTCCATAAATTCAAATGCTATTTCAAGCCCTGCGCCGGGCGGCTGAGCGATGTGGTAGGCAGAAACCCAGGAGGGGGCAGGAGAGCAGGGCTTGGGGGTGCCCTTGGGGTGCCGGGGGGCGGATGCTGCCGGGCTGAAAGGCACCGCCGAAGAGAAGGGAGGAGCCGGGCGCTGCCGCTCCGAGTGGGGACAAGCGGGGACGGGCGTCGGGAGCTCCCCGGGCGGCCTTGCCCCGGCCAGCATCGTGCCCCCCAAATCGCCCCGTCGGTGTCGGGCACCCCTGGGGAAAAAGGGGCAGAAGGGGAGCGAGCCAAAGTGCTCGCCACCCCCGCCAGGCGCTTTTACGCCCCTGGGCTGTTGATGAAAGCGCCCGGCCCGGCGTGCTTGCGACTCTCCCGCCCGAAAGCCCCGAGCAGATGTGCGCTTCCGACCACCCAGCTCCGGCACCTCTTCCCCGTTTCCATAAGGTTTCGTCCGACTGTGAGAAATTAGCTTAATTCGCAATTTAGTTTAATTCACGCAAGAGCGGGCTGGGACGGTCTGGGGGTGGGAGCAGGACTCTGTTGTTTTCTTATCCCCAAATTTCTCCCTACGTACGCTTGCTTGGCCGGGAGGAGCGAAGCGACCTGGCGATAAGTGGCCCCGACTCCCTCCCCACTTCGGCCCCGCTCTCCTCGGCCCACGGGGGCTCCCCGTTGACGGGACCGCAGCGACCGGGGGCAGCTCCGGCTCCGCGCTGCCGCGGCTGCCGGACTGGGGAGGCGACAGCCGCGAGGCAGCAGCGTGAGGCAGAGGCACCCCCCTGGAAAAATTAAATAAATAAATAAATAAATAAATAAATAAATAAATAAATAGCCGGGGGAGGTTTGGGGGAGGAAGGGAAGGGGGTGGGGGGTACACCAGCCTCGGCACAGTCGCCACCAAAATTTCTTAATTACGGCGGGCTAGGAGAGTCCTGTCTGGCAGCAGAGCCCGGATAAATCCCCGCCTAACGTGCAACCATTTTGGCAGGGAAATAAGTGACATAAGGCGAGAGCTTCTTTTTTTTTTTTTTTTTTTCTTCCCTTTTCTAGGCGAATGATTTGTGAGCGAAAAAAAAAAAATCAAATCAATAAATGGAAGATGGGCAAAACGCTCGGGCTTTTTTAGCGGACTCTTCTAAACCTCGTATTGGGAAAGTCACTTTGGGCTGCAGCGGTTTGAACCGCGTTGATCAAACAGAAAAGGCTATTATCCCTGATCGGGCAACCTGGGTAGTTAAAAGCTGAGGTAGTACACAAGAGCTGCATTTGCTCTAAAACTCACTTTATAAAATGCATAAACAACCGCTGGGGGATAGGAGGGAAAATTATATGTAAGATCCTGCTGGGTGCTTTATCTAGAGACCCTCTTTCTCCAAAGCCAATTAAGCAATAATGATGCTAGCTTTGGAGACTGGTGTTCCGATCAATATCTCCTGTATCTTTTATTACTTTTTCTCTGCGTCATGTTTTCCGTTTCCTTCATCACAGGAGATGTTATCGGAGTCACCGTAGTGGCTTGCCACGGAGACTGTCACAGTTACAATCCAGCCCGCAGTATTTTGGAAAGCTCCTACACAAATAAGGAGAGTGCAAGAAACACGACCCTATTTGCAAGCCAATATACCTTTCCGGCCTTGACAATGTCCGCTTCTTCTCCGCATGAGGGAAAACACCGCAGCAAAACAAAGCCAGAGAACCGCTGCAGAAGCTCGGTGGGTTTCCAGCCTGCTCGCTGCAGAGCTGGTACCCCGAGAGGCTGGGACACAGCGTGCCCGCGGCCTCTCTGCATTTTCAAAATCTGCGCCGGAGATGCGTTATTTCCTCGGGGTGATACAACATGTGTGCACGCAGATCGACACAGAGATATTTATCGGTCGTTTTAAGTGCCGGCATGTGTGCGTACGTACGGATGTCCGCGTATTTACATACGTCCTACATCTGGACTAGCTTTTCACTTTCATCCTCCGTTTACACCCGGCCGCACACGGACACGGGCGCAGGTTTAGACGCCCGTATGCCGAAGCTCCTGTCCCCTGGGCACGTCCCGGGGCCGGCCCCAGCCCCGCTCTCCCCTCGAGCTTCGCCCCAGGGGTTCCCGCAGCACCGCAGCCCCGTTCAAAGCACCGAGGCCGCTCCTCCTCCGCCGGCCTCGGCCGCGGAGCCCGCGGCCTCCCCGCCGCTCCTTCTCCCCCGGAGAGCCCCCAGCCAGCTTGAGAGCCCCCGGACCCCCTCGGCCGAGGGCGGCAGCCCTTCCCCAGGCCCTCGGAGGCAGCCCGTGTGCTTGCCGCCGGCGCGGAGCTGCTGCCCCCCGAGCAGCGTTTTGGCCGTCCTTTCCCCCGGGGCCCCCCCAGAGGCGTCTCCGCAGCCCGTGCGGTGGATGCGGAGAGCGCACGGAGCTCCTGCGAGAGCGGGGCTTGCGGTTCCCGCTGCCTCCTTTGCAGCCTGCTCCATCTCTATCTTTCTCTTTCTTTAATTTATGACCTCTCAGCTCCTGTTGACACAGTTTTCCACACTGCCTATATTGTAGGATCGCATTGTAATATACGCCGAATCAGCTCAGTCGTCAGCCAGCACACGGAAGGGTGGGTATTTGATATTTCACAGCTATTTAGGAACGCTCGGCTCCATCTGAGGATGACAGCAATTCGCCTCGCCTCCAAGTTATCCGTGAATTACAGCTCGATATCTGTTTTCCTTTCGTAACGTCTTGGAGATTAGCAAAGCGAAACACCTAAAGAACCACGGCTGCTCTCCTCCTGGCCCGCCTGTTAACCCGACGTTTAACTGTTCCCTTTCGATAGCTAAATCTGCTTTCCACAGATGCTGGTCTTTTTTTATTGCAGAAGCAGGAGCGCGGAGAAATTTTTATATATTTGTTAGTAAAAGCTAGAAAATAAGCTCTGAACATGCTGTAAAAAATATTCGGTTACTTACCAATCAGCCTAGTTAAACAAGCATGAAACTGATTTCAGGAGCATAACTGAACCGGGTGAACACTGGTCGAGGTGCGTGCCCGCAGCCGGCAAGCTGGAAGAGAATCGTTTAGAGTCGGTTTTATTGCTATTATCTCAAAGCAATTCTTTCTGGAAGAAAACACCGTCCCTGGCCAAACCCCGAGCCCTCTGCTCGGTCGGGGCGCCAGCAGCCGCGGAGCCGGAGCCAGTCCTCGCTAACGCGAAAGGCAAACCCGGTGACAACGCAGAGCAACTTCATCTCCCTCCTCTCGGAACCTCGTTACTAGTGATCTCTTTGTGTATATTAACCGGCAATAAAAATATAAGCCCGAGTGTTGCTGGGGCATGCCTAGCACAACCGGGCAATCGATAAAGTGCCCTCTGAAGAGGTTTTTATGTGTTCCTCTACCGGACCGGCACAAAGCGCTTTGTAAAAGCAACGACGGAGCTTACCAAGCTCTCACACAGATTTTTGCCAAGAAAAATCCTCGCATCCATACTGTACCTGGGTTGAGATTATCCGATATTTAAGTTTTAATGAGTTTGTTGCTTTTTTTTTTATATAACGAAGATTTTACAGTAAGGCATCTGCTAAACACTTGCATTAACCTCTGCCTCCATGATAATTTTTCCCCCCTTGTTTTAATTACATTATGGATGCGGAGGGGCAGCCAATCCTAAAAGAGGAGCTCGGCAATTAGCAGGGCGAACATCAAAAAGTTTTATTGCGGAGGGCCGCGGGCCCCGCCCCAGCCGCCAGCCATTGGCGGCCGCCGCCTCTGACGACATATATTAACCCGAGCGGCCCTAAACATGTAGCTGTACATGGAGATCGGGCCGGGGAGCCCTGCCAGTGCCCCGCGCCGCGCCGAGCCCCGCCGCCCGCCCGCCTTCGCCTCCGCGCCCGGCCGAGCGCCGCGGATGCCCCTGAGGAGCGGGGGGCGCTGAGCCCCGCGGCGCGGCGCGCAGGGATGCTCGCTCACTCCCGGCACTGACGGCCCCCACCGCCGCGCAGGGCAGCGGGGAGAGCCCTGCCCGCCCTGCCCTGCCCGCCCCGAGCCCGGGGGCGCATGGAGGGGGGCCGCGTGTAAGTACCACCCGGCCGGGCCGCCGCGGACTTGGCGAGAGCGGAGGGAAGCAAGAGGCGAGGAAGATATCCCGGGCTGGGAAGCCAAAGCCGTTTTGTTTGGTCGACTTCTCTCCATAGCCTTTTTTTTTTTTTTTTTTTTTTTTTTTTGGTGGTGTGTGTGTGCGCGCTTCCTCGAAGACCCAGCCCCGGGCGAGGAGGAGGAGGAGGTGGAGGCACAACGCATGAGCGGCGGCGGCGGCGCCTGGGGAGGGGGGATCGCTCGGGCACCCGCGGGGACTCTGCAGCAGCGCCCTATGGAGAGGCGGCGGGCAGCGGGGCTGTGCTGAGGGGTGAGCGGCGGGCAGCATCTCCCGCCGGAGCGGCGGGGGGTGGGGGCGGGCGGGGAGGGGAAAGCTTTGTTTTGGGGCCCCGGGGGGCGGGGTGGGGCGCGCTAGGGAGCGGGGATGAGTCTAGTGGGCGGCTTCCCCCACCACCCGGTGGTGCACCATGAGGGCTACCCCTTCGCCACCGCCGCTGCCGCCGCCGCCGCCGCCGCCGCCACCCGCTGCGGCCACGAGGAGAACCCCTACTTCCACGGCTGGCTCATCAGCAGCCACCCGGAGATGTCCCCCCCCGACTACAGCATGGCTCTGTCCTACAGCCCCGAGTACGCCAACGGGGCGCCGGGCATGGACCACTCCCATTACGGGGGGGTGCCGCCCGGGAGCGGCCCGCCCGGGCTCGGGGGGCCCCGGCCGGTGAAGCGCAGGGGCACGGCGAACCGCAAGGAGCGGCGCAGGACTCAGAGCATCAACAGCGCCTTCGCGGAGCTGCGGGAGTGCATCCCCAACGTGCCCGCTGACACCAAGCTCTCCAAGATCAAAACCCTCCGCCTGGCCACCAGCTACATCGCCTACCTCATGGACCTGCTCGCGAAGGACGACCAGAACGGGGAGGCGGAGGCCTTCAAGGCAGAGATCAAGAAGACAGACGTGAAGGAGGAGAAGAGGAAGAAAGAGCTGGTCAGTGCTCCGCCACGGGCCGCGACGGGGCGGGGGGGCGATGCGGCTCGAAGCCGGCCGCGGGGGGGTCCCAGCTGCGGGGCGGCGGGGCGGGGGTCCCGTCCCATCCCGTCTCGGGCCGGGCCGGGCCCCGACGGCTCAGCCGGGCTCTGCTCATCGGGGGTGACCCCGCGGCCCCAAACGCGCGGCCGGGAGGCGCGGGGCTCGGCGGCTTGAGCGCGCTGCTGCGGGGCGAGAGGCGGTGAGAGGCGGCGGGGAGCTGCGGCCCGCTTCCAGCCCGGCCCGGCGGCACCCTGGGGCCGCCCTCCCCCGGCTTTCGGCGGCGGCTCTGCCGCCGCGGGGCCGCGTTTTGCCCGGCGTGCCGGTGCCCGCCTCCCCGCGGGCCCGCAGGGGGAGGCTCGGCGCGGCCTCGCCGCGATTCGGCGAGCCCCGAGGTCCCCGCTGCGGGCCCGCACGGAGCGGCGGAGTGGGGCGAGAGACCGCGGCGAAGCCCCGCGGAGGCCGTCCCGAAAATGCTCCGCAGGCCTCCGCCGGAGCCCGCGGCTCCTCGCAGCTCTCCCGCTCGGTCGCAGTAGGAAGCGGAGGAAGCTCTCTAATCTTTTTTTTCTCTCCTCTCCCTGCTTTGTTTCTCTCCCTCCCTCCCTCTCTCTCTCCCCTCTCCTATTCCTTCGCATCCTGTCTCCCCAGAACGAAATCTTGAAAAGCACAGTTAGCAGCAACGATAAGAAAACCAAAGGGAGGACTGGCTGGCCGCAGCATGTCTGGGCTTTGGAGCTCAAGCAGTGAGCACGACAGGACTGGAGGAGCCGTCCTCTCAGTCTCGGTAGCGAGCTCTCCTCTGAGGACTCTTTGTATTTGGAATCATCCAGTTTATTTATGTGCAATTTCTCCCCCCACCCCCCCAAAATGTGGATATTTGAAGGAGAGGGAAAAAGCATTCCATATATGAATATGAAGAGGAAACTCCAGCTTGGTAAGGGGTAACGTCTCTAATAGTTCGTGAATGTTATTTGCTCTGTATAAAACACACGGGGAAAACAGAACCGTAGAAAGAAAAGAAAAAAAAATCCCTCCCTGGCATTAGTGTGTATGTGAAGTGTATCTTTAATACTTGGCCTTTTGGATATAAATATTCATGGGATTATAAAGTTATATTTCAACAGAAGCAGTTGCACCAATGTTTCGGTTGACTCGGTATTTAGTGTTGTAATTTTGTTGTGGTCGTTCAGTATTTGAAGATGTTTTCAGCAGTTATTGGTTATGTGCACTTCCGTCCGTAAGGGAAAAAGTGGAATCTAATTAATATTGAAGGTGTAAACGTTGTAAGTACTCAATAAACCACTGTGTGTGTTTTTTACAAAAAAAAAAAAAAAAAAAAAGGAAAAAAGGAAAAAAAAGAAAACCCAAATCTTTTTATGTTTTATACCTCAAAATGTTTTGAATAACAGCGTTGTTTATGGCTTTTTTTCATAATATTTAAAATATTCGGAAGTAAACTAAATTATAAAGATGGCTCCGAAGTTTATTTTTAAACAAGTGACTGAGGGAAAGGAGGGGTAGAGGGAGGGATCTCGCCAGCCCTGTGAGTGTCGAACATGCAAACGGCAGTTCGGCAGAGGAGAAATGCCTTGCGGTGGTGTTCTCCAGGCAGGAGACCTACTGCTAACGGGAAGCGGACAAGGCTGCAAACGGGCCCGGGAGCGCCAGCCGCGCCCGTGCGGGCTGCTCCCGGCGGCGGTGCCAGGCGGAGGCTGCGGCGGAGGCTGAGGTTGAGGCTGAGGCTCCGGGGGCAGGCGCGGGAGGCTTTTAGGGCTTTGCTCGGAGCGATTATGTAACAGGTAATTCTACGTCAAGCACGAAAGAGCGAACAAGGCGAGGGATTTGCGCGGGGGTGGGGGGAGGACGGAAGATTTACAATGAGCGACGGTGAACTTAATATTAACTTTGTGGTTCCCAAAACTCTCCTGGGTTGCATGTTTCCAGTCTGCAACAGCGAGCTGTTTTTTTTTTTTTTAACTTTTTTTTTTTTTTTTTTTACCTTTTTCTGTTTGCAAACTGCCGCAAGCCGTGCTGCGGCTCTGCTGTGCGTTCATCTATCTGCTTCCCCAGTGTGACTGCTCTTCCCCTGTTTGTGTAGCTACCTGTCTGCAGGCTCCTTTGCAAGGCTCCTGGTGCTAGGCCACTGGGTTTTTTGCTCCCTGGCGTCGGGACGAGCTGCAGCGGTCCACCTGGACGCTCAGTGCTGGGAATTGCCTGGCTTCCCTCCGTGTGGTAGGCAGGCAAGGCAGAAAGTTAAACTTTTGCGAAATAATCTTGTTCTAGGTACGCTTGGTCAATTCCCGGTTAGACGCGAGGTTTTAAACACTTTTCTCATAATAGAATTCGGGTTCTTGTTTCTGCGCCGTTGAAACCCTTGTTTAACTCAGCTCAACCTAAACCCAGCTGGCTCTCTCCCCAGGTCCAGGGGCTGCCTACCTGCCTGCCTTCCCCTGCCGCCGCGCCTAAGGAAGTGGCTCCCGACGCGACCCGACAATAAGCGTAGGTAGATGTGCAATTGCCCATAAAAAGATAAGGGAGTCCCCGCGCCGCTTCGCCGCCCCCGCTGACAATGGGAAGGTTGCGGGGTTACAACAACCAGACAAAAGTGATGTGCCCTCTCTGCCGGCGGGTCAGGCAGCCCGGCTCTGCGCTCCGCCGTGGGTCTGTGTTTACCCACACTTGCCTTTGTTTATAACACTCGCAAAGAAGAATCTCCCCTTGTTTGCTTTTCCTTGCCTGTTAGTTGCCCAGCTGATAAACCAGAGGACCTCGCAGCCCCCCGCTCCACCTCCGCCAAAATCTTTTTGCACGCAAACGGCGAGGGAGGATGGCTCCAGGGGGGCGAGGGCTGTAGGGCGGCAGGGCCAGCCTAGCCTTCCCCTGCCCCAGCAGCCGAGCTGCTGCTCCCCGGGCCTTGGGGGGCACGGGGAAGCCGCCCACCCCCTGCGCCCCCCGGGCTGCACGGCCGGGCGTGGGGTGTGGAGGCGGCGGCCGCGCCGCTGAGGGAACTCACCGTCGTCCCGCGGGGCTTTCCGATCGGTACCTCTCCCCTTTTTTCCCCTGAATTTCTCAGGGATATCACCACCACCACCACCCCCCACCACCCCCCCCCCCGGACCCGCTAGGAAGGATTTCTTTTAATTGCTCGGTAATGAGGATGTTGCCATTTTCTCAGGAGCAGTCATTCCCGGAGCTAAATCACAAGAGCCCTAGACAGGCCGGAGCCGACAAAAATGTAGGTTTTGACGTTAAAAGCTAAATGGGGAAGCAGGGCGGTAGAAGGTAAATTGATGGTAGACGGGGATGTCAGTGCCCTGGCCCCAGCTCCCGGCGAGCGGAGCCGGGGGCTGATAAGAGCAGAGCGCTGCGCCCGCAGCCAGCCAGCACCCTGCGACCGGGGCTCCGGGGGGGGGAGCTTTTTTCGGAGGTGACAAGCACGTAGCAGTCCATGGGACCGGGAAGCGGCGGCTTTGTCCCCTCCTCAGAGTTTCCCTGCGCTGTGCGGGTGGGTAGCGATGAGAGGGAGGCACAGGGGGTCGGTACGCTGCAGCCGGGTGGCTCCAGCCGTGTCCCTGCAGGCGCGCGGCCCATGTGTACTCGCCGCTTCTTTTCATTTCTGGGGAAGCCTCTGCTGTGCCTCCAGAGAAAATAACTTTTTTTTTTTTTTTTTTCATTTGAAAAGAAACAGCAGCACAACACCCCCGGCTGGCGTGTCGCCTGCCCTGCCCTCCCAGGAGGCCTCCCCTCCTCTCCCCGGGCCCGAAACACAGGCGGGGGTCGGCACCCACGGGAGACAGCGGGGGTACCCACCCCTCGGGGGCACGGCTCGGCACGGCCCGGCTCTGGTTTAGGCGAAAAACAGCGCGGTTTTGGCTGCTCGGCTTGCCCTCTGCACCATGGGGCGCGCAGGGCACCCCTGCAGCTCCATAACGGATTTCTTAATGTTATTTTATTTTGTTGGTTTATTTATTTATTTATTCGCCCGTTCGTTCCCGGGAGCGCCAAGAGCTGATGGCAATAATTAGCGCTGATTTGCAGTCGTTGTCAAAGCGGGGCAACGGGGCCTTTCTGGGCCAGCCGCAGACACCCCTGGAACAAGCGCTGAGACATCCGCGGGCAACTGTAAGGACATAAACACGGCCGGGGGATGCCATTGAGACAACGTGATCTTGAAAGGTGGGCGGGGAGGAGGGGGGGGAAGACGGTTAGTAATAAAACCTCTAAGCAAAATATCCTCCTCCTGCGCTGGGAAACCTAACCTTAATCCTCCTTTTTCACACGTACTCGCCCAGCGGCTCGCAAAGGCACCCAGAAGAAAGCTCCAAGTAGCAGTGGGAAGGAAGCGCGTCCCGCGCTTCTGCAGAAATAATCCCCTCTGCTGTAACGAGGGGCTTATCAATGCTTTATATATATATATATATTTTTTTTTTTTAATTCGGAGCCTTTTGTTTTATTATTATTTTGCGGGCCGTGAAATATGGGCCTTCGCAAACGAACGCTAATCTTTTCTACTTCTAATTGGCCAATTACTGTTCAGCTGTTTCAGCTCGTCCCGCACAATGGAGATTAAAGCCGAGTTGTTATCTGAATTATACATTCACATAAATTCTAGCGAAGCCGGCCGATTCGCGGGGCCAGCGCCTCTCTGGGAATCCCTGTGGCCCTCTCTCCCCCTTCCACGCCAGCGTGGTGTGTGTCTCCCTCTTCCCCAGCTCCCCCCACCCCCATTTTCCTCTCGAAATGTCGCTGCTTTGATGATCCGATTGTAGAGCATTGATTACAAATTTATTCTCAGACACTATATAAGTCTTTATATCTGCTATTAGGGACATCTGGGAGTGATTAGAGCCCTCCCTCCCCCGGCTCTGCTCCCTCTATCTCGCAGCGAGGAGCTATAGACATGTTGACGTCAGATCAGACGGCTAGGAGCCATCCTGCTCTCGACTTGGGTGTAATCACGGCAGCGCTTTCCAAGCTCCAGCCCGGCCGCGGCCGCCAGCTGGAATGCGGGTGCAGCGGGACGGCGCTCGCCGGGGCTCCGTGGCGAAGCCGGATCTTCAGCCCCCGGAGGCTCCGGCGCTTCTGGAGTCCGACGCCGGGACCGCTCGGTCGGTGGGTTGAAAAGAAGAAGCTGTGCTTCCCGCAGGGGTGCTCGCCCTGCTCCTGCCCGGCCGGCGCTGGCTTTATCTTCCATTTCTCCCGGCGTGCTCACCCAGAGCACTGCCTTCCAAACCAAACAGCAGGCCAGGCAGATCTCCACCTTGTGTCTTGGCAGGGAGAAATGAGCGAAGCAAAATGCAGCACATACGTGCGGGCACCGCGGGCCGCCTTCCCCGCACCCCCACAGCCCGCTATCCGAAACGGCGGTCGGGTTTCCAACGAGCTGGAGGCCGCCCTAAATACGGAGCACTCCCGAGGCGAACGGGCGTGCTGCTGACGGGGAGATGGATTTGCACCTGCTATTAAGTCCTAATGCTAATTGAGAGTTGGGGCTGTCTCAATGTCGCGCTGAACACTTCGCAGGGACCCGAGATCATCTTTGTCAGAGTCGGTTTTACAAAGTCTTTATTGTTTTGTATATTTCTCTCCCCCCTCCTCCCTCCAAGGAGATAAAAATAATAAGTCGATAAATACAACTTGAGCCTCCGCCGCCTGCTCGCAGTCTTGGACGGCCGACACTTGTCCAGCTGTACGTTGCACTCGGTGCTGCTACCAGGAAGGGGGGGGGCGGAGGGGTGGGGATGAGAAAGCAGTTGATCTCGTCTCCAGAGAAAAGAGATAATGTTAGATTATTTGTCTGAAGGATTAAATTCTCCGGGTAAAACACGCTTGCCAGGAGTAAAAAAGCCCTGTGTAACCCTAAAGAAAAAAAAAAAAATGTGTAAAAAGTGTTTCCATTTCTTTGTTCCAGCAAAATAAAATGAAATGAAATAAAATGGTATAAAATAAAACCCCAAAGATACCGCAACGCTCCGCTGTGTCTATGTGTAATCTCGAAAGGAAAAGGAACATTTCCTTCCTAAACCAGTGCAAACAGTGCGCTGTGCGCTCGGCTTCGCACCGCATCCTCCAGCCCCAGGGCTGCTGCAGGGGTGGGGGAAAAGCGAAAAAAACTGGCAAGTGAAAGGAAAGAACAAAACAACGCCACGGACACGAACCCGAAGGGAAAACTCCCAATGAATCCCATAGCAGAGCTTAGGGGTCGCTGCCCTGCACGGCCGGAGGGAGCTGTTGCCCCGGCCGGGGGCTGTAGGGCTGGTGTTGCCCGCAGCAGAGGGCAGGGAGCAGGAGGGGGGAGCGGATCCTGCCGGCCGGGGAAAGCGGCGGGGAGCGGGCTGGTTTCAGGGCTGTGTCCTGGGACAGGCGGGAGCAGGGTTTGGGGAGCAGCGGTGATGTCTCGGAGGCACAATGGGGATCGGTGCGTCCGCCTCCGGGAGCCGCTATCTGCTAAGCGCGAATGCTGTTCGAGGGAGAAAGAAGCCCTTGTGTTGCCCAACGTTTCTGGGAGAAAAAATGTGAACTTATATTTTAATGTAGAGCAGTAGAGCCGTTTTCCCGGCCACGTCTATTGAACAAACATGTGGGGATAATAGAGAGGACGATTCTCCTATAGGGGTCTCTATTTGCATGCCATATGTGGCTATAGGCTAAACCAGCTGCGCATAATGAATTTTTAAAAAGCTAAATGCGTATGCAGACCCATGGAACTTTTCTAAAACCGGCCTGAAAGACAATGAAATCTTCTGCCAGAAAATACAGGAGGCGGAAGAGATTAAAACTAATAATAATAATATGAGCCCCCCCCCCCCCCCGCCAGCCCAGCCCAAGCCTCAAGACTTTGCTGGGAGCCCTGCCCGGAGGAAGACCCCAGCAGCCGGGCGGGAGGTCCGGCAGGGCTGTGGGGCCGTGCCGTGCCGTGCTGGGTCGGGCCAGGGTGCGCGCCCGTGGGGCCGCGCAGGGCGAGCTGAGGCTCACGGCCCGGCCTTGACTGCCTCTCTGCCCAATCTGGTTTTCATAGAGCCGCGCAGTAATTACCTAAAGCCATAACTGTCTCCGAAATTATTCATTAAAGTCATTCCCAAGAATCTCGCGGCGCTGGCGCTTACATTTACGGCCTTTGCACCATCAGAGTATGACACTGTCTTTTCGCCCCGTTTCCTCGGCGGCGGCGTGTTTAAAACCGAGGAGGAGAAGGGGGGTACTGCTCCCTCTCCCACTCCCTCGGTGGGTTTATTTGCTCGGGATTCAGGTTGCTTTCCACCTTTTGGCGAAGGAGCGCGATGCAACCCGGCAGACACCCTGGGAGCAAGGAGGGTATTTTGGGGAGTTGCAGTGTTGTGCGGAAGATCATGTCTGTGCCCTGTGGTGCTGTCAGCAGTGACAGATCCCAGATGCAGCCGCTACTGTATGGCAGATTGAGTTTCTCAGCAGAAAACTCTCTCCCTCCCTCCCAAACGTCTTCAAAAACCTTCTCCAGATACTGCGGGTCACTTCGGCTCAAACGGGGAGAGAAAGGGGGAAAAAAGGCTTTCCCTCTCCCCCACCCTTTCTCTTCCCCGAGCCAGATCTCTCCGGGGTGCGGGGGGGGCATGCCTGCTCCCCTCCCCGCCCGGGGTGCCCCCTGCCCCCCTCGTCGCCCCCGGCTCGCTGCGAGCCCGCCGCCGACCATGGGAAGCCTCGTACAGGTAAGCGGGGGGCGGCGGGGACGGGGACGGGGCAGGAGCCTGCGACCGGGGGGGGAGGGCAAGCCCGCCCCCCTCCCTCGGCAGGGTCTCGCTGCCTGGACGGGGCGAGCCAGGGGAGCCGGGCAGCGAGGGGATCCCGCTCCCTCAGGCAGTGCCCGGGGCGGGGGGGCTTGGGGACGAAGCGGGACCCCCCTGGCCCGGATCGGCTCGGTTCTGCCGAAAGCGGCAGCGAAAGCACAACGCTGGGTCGAAGCGTGCTGGGGGATCTTCGCCTGCCCTCCGGGAGGGACCCCCCGAGCTTGGGCTCCCGGGGGGGGCTGTAAGCACGGAAAAGGGACGGGGGGGGGGCGCGGCTGGAGGACGCGGGAGGGACGGGACGGGACGGGCTGGCAGGGGGGCACCGCTCCTGGCACCGGCACCGGGAACAGTTGGAGGCTGGGACCCCCCCGCGGCCCCCCAACCTCGTCCCCCTCCGCTTTTCCTCACCACTGCGAAGAAGCGGTTGCGGCTCCCGGGAAGCTCAACCCGCTCTTCCACGCGTGCCCCGGGCCTCCTGCCCCTCCTGCCCGCACCCCTGGCAAGTATTTACCGCCCTCCCCCCCAACCCCTCCGCTCCCCCTCCGAGTGCCGAAATCGGAGGCCGAGGCTGGGCTGTTTCCTCCTGCACCCTTTCCCCCCCCCTCCAGCAAGTATTTGGTGCTTAAGGGCTCTAATCTGTCTGGCACCGGGCGGGTCTCACGTCCGCGGATCAGCCCCGAAAGCCTCCGCACCGGGCGGGCAGAGGCCGGGGGGGGCCTCCGCTAGCGCAGCCTCGGGCCTCGGCCTCCGCTGCAGACCTCCGAGCAGCGCCGGGATGGAGACGAGCTGGTTTCATGCACGCACATGCCTCCCGTAAACGATTCCTGCCACCCTCGCTCTCGGTCCTTCCTTTCCCGCTGAAGTGAAAGGCTTTAATTCAGCCGCTCGCCCAGCCCCCTCCCCTCTCTCTCTTTCTCTCTCCTTTTTTTTTTTTTTTTTTTTTTTTAAAGCTCTTGCCTTTAGCAGAAGTATAATTGTGACCCTGCCTGATCCACAGAGCCTCCTGTTGGGAGCAGTTAGCTGTGGTTGCATTAGGCCAAAGGACCTCCCAAGTGGCGGTGGCCTGGGTGTCATAGGAAGGGACTCTGCACATTGTCCATTCTTTCTCATCAAAGTCCCAGGCACCGTGGAGCCAACAGTTTGGTGGAGCAGGAAAATAGTAAACAAGCCTCCCCCCTCCCTTCCCAAGCCAGCAGCACCGTGATCTTCCTAAGAGGCAAGAAACTGTAACAAACTTTTTCATAACTTCAGCTCTACGGTGTGATTTACATTTCCGGCTCCCCTGTCGGAGTGGCAGTAATTTACAGCGTGATAAAAACACTTTTACAACGCCAGAACATGTTCGAGTAGTGTCTCAGTGTGCAGAAAGGTTTTAAAAGACGACACACATCAGAAAAAGTTATTTTCTCTGCCTTTTTTTTTTCCACCGTGGCTTTCTGAAGAGACAAATGGGTTGAAATTGCAACGTAGGCAAAAAAAAAAAAAAAAAAAAAAAAAAAAGTGAAAAGTAGACGCGGGCTGAAGCAAACGTGGATGAAATCAATCCTGGGCTTTTGTTTATATGGTGTATATTATATGTCCACATTTCTCCTGTTTCTGCAAGGCTTTCGCTTAATGCATGCTTCTATTTTCGTGCTTTCGGGCCAAATCCTGCTTGTCTTGCCCCAGGGGATGCTTTCATTTGGTCATGGATCTATTGTGTTTAAACAATTTCTTTTATTCAATAACTCATTTCTTCTCCGGAGTCTTAAACCGAGTAGGTCTGTTAGCGTTTATGAAAGGGAAGCATCTTTTATTCAGTTCTAATTTCCCTAATCTGATATAGGCAGCTTTTCCAAATACCGGGGTAATAGGGTTACCCCTTCTCCAGGAGCATCCAGTTTGTTCCAGCCACGCTCCTCCGCCAGGGAGGACTCCTGCGGCGGGGCAGGACGGGTCTGGAAACTAATGGACACCATCCCTGTCCTGGGAGAGACGATAAAGTTTAGTAAATTACAAATATGCGAATTTGGCAAACAGTTAAGGATTAAAATGATCAAACGATTAAAAAAAAAAAAAAAAAGGCAATGAATAAACCACATGTAGCAGTTGCCGCTTTCATGACTTTGGTAATTATTTACACCTGAATTGTAGTTTACTCCAGCCACGGTTTCAAAAGTAAACCTTTAAAGAATTTAATTATTTCCAGTTTTCGGCCACAGAGATAAAAAAAAAATCAAAATAAGAAGTGTGGGTTAGCGAGCAAATGCTGTCTCCCGGCTCTCCTAAAAGTCTTTCCGTGCTTTTCCATCTCGAAGACCAACGCGGCCCCTCCGCGCCTCCCTGCCCGCGCACGGGGGCGAGCCCCGCCGCCCGTGCGCGCCCCCGCGGCCTGGAGCAGGGGCACGGGGACGAGCCGGGTGCCCGCACGGGTCTGGGCGCTTGGGGTGCGTGCGGGCCAGGCACGCTATTGAAGCGTGTGCGGGGGAACTGGCCGGCTCCTTCCCTGCGCTCTATAATAGCTCTGTTATTCTTGCTAAACGAGCAGGATGGCTCTGCGTGACCCCTCGGCATTTAAAACCGTTTTCTATCACCGCACGTGTGCCGGTGGGGGGGTGGGTTGGAGGGCAGGAATCTAAAGTCATTGAGAACAAGCGGGGAAGCCTGTGATGTATGGCACGTTTTATCTTTATTTAGGCAGCGTGTCGTTCGCAGGATGGCCCGGGTTTCCGTGCGCAGTGGGGGGATGAGGCACATCCATCCTTCGGCAGCAGCGGGAGGGAGGCAGGGGCACATCTCCTTCCCCTTCTCGACTTTTTCTGCGTGTGAAGTCGGCACTTCTCGAGGAAAAAAAAATATAAAAAAAAAAAGAAAAAGGAGTTGTGGGGAGCGGGGCCGGTGCTGTGGGGCTGTGGGACATCACCCCGTGGGCATCGCTCTGGGCTGGGACCCCTTGCCCCGTCCCTCGTGGCTGTGGGCACGGCTGAGCGCTGCAAGCTGCGAATATTTTCAGTATTTCACTGCTCGCTGCCCTTAAATTCCCCTTTTTTCCCCGCCGGGGATGCCTTGGCATCCTTCCCGCAGCCTTGCATCCCTCCGTGCCCTGCGGCCGCAATGGGATGCGAAGGACTCGGGGACGCCCGCCCCGCGGCCCCTTCGCTCTGCCCAGCTGCCGCCTGCCATGCGGTGGGATGCTCCCGGAGGCCAAACCGTGCCGCGATTTCAA